TCAAGATGGTAAGTCTCTGTTCCGCAGCCACATGAAATCGCTCAACAAGCAGCATTTCGGCTGATGGCTGATGCGTTGCACTCGTCGCTGACCTCCTCCTCGCCTTCAATACTTGCTATCCTTTTCTGTTTTTCGGTGCACCTTCAGTCCACACCGTCAAAAAAGCGTCTGATTCGAGACTTTAAGAGACTCTCTACAGACCCTCCCGGTGGTATTTCTGGAGCACCATGTGCAGACAATCTCATGATCTGGAACGCTGTCATCTTCGGGCCCGCCGACACCCCTTTTGAAGATGGCACTTTCAAACTTGTTCTTACCTTTGACGAGAGTTACCCAAATAAGCCACCCACCGTCAAGTTCCTCTCCAAGATGTTTCATCCAAATGTGTACGCCAACGGAGAACTGTGTTTGGACATTCTACAAAACAGGTGGAGCCCAACATACGATGTAGCAGCCATTTTGACTAGCGTTCAGAGTCTGTTGCATGATCCGAATCCCAACAGTCCTGCCAATGCCGAGGCGGCAAATTTGTATAGGGAGAACATGAAGGAGTATGTGAGGAGGGTCAAAGCGACGGTAGAGATGAGTTGGTTGGATGATGGAGAAGGACAGGATGCGATTCCGGAACAAGATGAGGGGGAAGAGACGCAGGTGAATGGCGGTGCAGCTGCTGCGCTGGCGGTATGATCAGGTTGGTTGCACACATGTTACTTTAACAACTTTGCGCACAACTGTTTTCCTCGAAATTATTCTTGCCCCCCTCTCTCTCTATCTCTCTCTCTCTCTCTCTCTCTCTCTCTCTCTCGCGCGCGCTATGTACATCATCTTTCTTTGTCTCGATTGAACCTTTTTTTTTCTTTGCAGTAACTCGTTCTTCTATTTCATGTTTTCTATTTTCGTGCAAGCAAGTTGTTTGTTTGCTACTTGGCATGAGGTTCTCTCACGCTGGATTATGCGTACGCAACCTTCGCAAAAATTTCGAGACACTCCACAGGTTCTGGATCAGAACAACCAATCGCAATCCAATCCACACGAAATCTCAAAAGCATACAATGACGACTTTGGTTCTGAATATACACGACATGTTTTTTTATTCATACGTCATTGGAACAAAAGGAAGAGAAAAGCGGTGGTGTGTGTGTGCGTGTGTATAAGTGCTAGGGACAAATGCAAAAGAGAATTATAAAAAGGCCGACGTAGAAGAAAGACGAGGAAATATCAAGCTCGAGAATCCAACAAGGGTCCGCACGGCAAAACAATATCATGCGGTGTGGAAGAGCACCTTAGCTCTCAAGATTTTGTTATATCCATATCTGCGCATGCGGAACAGCCAGAGGATGTCGTCGGGGTGCGGGGTAAAGTGAGGGAGCTGTTGTTACAAGAGTTCGCTGTATGCCACAGTTGAGCGAAAGGAGCCGAGATCGGGGGGTGTGAATGCAAGGTGTGGAGAAACACACTTTTGTTTTTAGTTCTTCTTCTCACCCTCACCACCCTCAGGCTTGGACTCCTCGGTAGGGCCAGACTGGCCCTTCTTCTCATAAACGAGCTTGAAGAGCTGCAAAGAAGCCTGTTGGGTAGCGTCGATCTTCTCGCGGATAGTCTGAGCCTCGATGTCAGCGTCACCGTTAAGGCCCTTGGAGGCGAGCTCCTCCGTCTCCTTGATGAGGACGTTGAGCTTTTCCTTCTCCTCGGCGGGCAACTGCTCCGAAAACTCCTGCATGGCCTTGGTTGTCTCACTGCAGACGGAGTGAGCCCTATTGGCCTCTTCGATCACAGCCTTCCTGGCCTTGTCTGCCTCAGCGTACTGCTCGGCATCGGCAACCATCTTCTCAATCTCGTTGTCGCTGAGACCGGAACCAGCAGAGATGGTCATGGACTGATCCTTGTTGGTGGCCTTGTCAAGAGCAGAGACGTGCATGATACCGTCGGCGTCAATGTCGAAGGTGACCTCGATCTGGGGAACACCCTTGGGCGCAGGGGGCACGCCGGTGAGCTGGAAGTTTCCGAGCAGCTTGTTGTCGCGGACGAGTTCACGTTCGCCCTGGTAGACCTGAATGTCGACGGCGGTCTGACCGTCGGCGGCAGTGGAGAACACTTGAGACTTCTTGGTGGGAATGGTGGTGTTACGGTTGATGAGACGGGTGAAGACACCGCCGAGGGTCTGAATACCGAGCGAAAGAGGGGTAACATCGAGCAAGAGAACATCGGTAACCTGACCGGAAAGAACACCACCCTGGATGGAGGCACCGATGGCGACGGCCTCGTCAGGGTTGACACCCTTACTTGGGTCGCGCTTGAAAATACCCTTGACGGTCTCGAGGACCTTGGGCATACGGCTCATACCACCGACCATGATGACCTCCTGAATATCGGAGGGCTTGCATCCGGCATCGCTAAGAGCCTTCTTGCATGGCTCGACGGTGCGGTCAACAAGTTTGCCAACAAGAGCCTCAAGCTGAGCACGAGTGATCTTCGAGTTGATGTGCTTAGGACCCGAAGCATCGGCAGTGATGTAAGGCAAGCTGATGTCGGTCTGCTGAGTGGAAGAGAGCTCGATCTTGGCCTTCTCGGCGGCCTCGCGGATACGCTGGATAGCCATGCGGTCCTTGGAGAGGTCGAGACCGGACTCCTTCTTGAATTCGTTTACGAGGTGCTCGACGAGAACAATGTCGAAGTCTTCACCACCGAGGTGAGTGTCACCATTGGTGGACTTGACCTCGAAGACACCCTTCTGCATCTCGAGAATCGAGATATCGAAAGTACCTCCTCCCAAATCGAAGACGGCAATGACGGACGAGTCGTCACGGTCGAGACCGTAAGCGAGAGCAGCAGCGGTGGGCTCGTTGATGACACGGAGAACATCAAGACCAGCAATAGCACCGGCGTCCTTGGTAGCCTGACGCTGCGAGTCGTTGAAGTAGGCGGGGACAGTGATGACAGCATGCTTGACAGTCTTGCCGAGGTACCCGGAGGCGGTCTCCTTCATCTTGCCAACAACGAAAGCACCAATTTGCGAGGGAGAGTACTTCTCACCTCGGACCTCGAGCCAAGCATCACCGTTCGAGTGGGGAACAATCTTGAAGGGAACGTTGTTCAAGTCCTTCTGGACCTCCTTGTCCTGGAACTTTCGACCAATGAGACGCTTGGTTGCGAAAAGGGTAGCCTCGGGGTTGACGACAGCCTGGCGCTTGGCGGGGAGACCAACGAGACGCTCGCCATCCTTGGTAAAGGCAACAACGGAAGGGGTAGTTCGGCCACCTTCCGAGTTTTCAATAACACGAGCCTGTTGGCCCTCCATGACGGAGACACATGAGTTGGTGGCTGTGCAAAGGAGAAGAGAAGATTGTGAAAAGCCAAGTCAGTTCAAAACAGTCCTTTGCGCCAACTTCTAGCTTGGTACGAGCTGTGCTGCTGAGCGCCGCTGCTTGGAATTCTGTTGCACTTTTGGCCAGTCCAAGAGAAATCGGCTATGTTTCACCCCGCGTACTCACTTCCCAGATCGATACCAATGACAGGGCCAGAAACCTTGCCAGAGTTGAATCGGGCACCGAGGGGTGCGAGACGCTGCAAATGTGAAGAAAGAAGGCGTAAACGGAGGTAAGAGAGGTATTTTGTCAGTTATACGAGCTCGCCACCCACATCGCAACGGCACATTCTCAGGCTTTGACGGCAACACCAGCTGCCATTGCGGTCGAGTCGATTGTACTACTTACGGCAACCCCAGGGGTAGCGGAGCGGAGAGGCTGGTTCAAGAGCCGTGTCACCGGAGTGGCGGCGCGAAGACCACGAGAGAACATGGCTATGTGTTATGATTTGGGGGGGCTGAATGAATATGTGATGGTGGAGAGAGGAAAAAGAAAGTGAGACCCCGATTGAATGAGGGTGTGCAGCGGTGGTGACGGGGATGAGTGTGGTAAGACTCAGAATGAAAGAGAGAGGTGACGAAGGAGAAGGAAGGAAAATGCGGGTGGAGTTCAAGCTGGATTTCGGGACAAGGAAAGGCGGCGGCAGAGCAGAGAGTCAGAGGTCTAGGAAGATGAAGAAAATGGAATTGATCGGGTCAACTGCGACAAAGCGGATTGGTCTGTGGCCATACCGGAAAGCAGGCAGAATTTGGAAGAAAATCCGATACGCTCAGCAGGCTCGCAAGAACCAGTGCAAGGCAAGGCAGCTCAGCGCCTTCTCTCATTTCTTTCGTGATCAGCCGTGAAAAAAAATTGCCTCGAGTTTGACTCAGCTTTTTCGTTGCTCTCGCTTCTCCACTCCAGCAGCCAACCGCCAATTCGACTGCCCGCTGGCTCAGCGCAGTCTTCATGAGGTGTCTGGACTGCTCTGTCAACCTCAGCCTGCATCTGATAGAATAGCATCTCACGGCCTTGAGCCAGTAAGTCGTCGCAGATGCTTTCCATCACTACCAACAATGCGAGACATCTTGCCGGTTACAACGGTGGGATGTTTGATTGTTCCTCTTCGCCCAGAGCGGTTCGACTGCCACCGGTTGCGTCTTCTAAACCGGCATACAGTCACCTGCGAAATAGAATGCATGGCTGCTGTGCTTCCTCATCGCAGCCGCTTTTCAGTCACCTCTTTTCCGAGCAGCATTTTTGTACATTTTGAATCAGGGGGCGGTGTGTGCAATTTCGAGATTCTTCCCCAACCTTCGTTCAAAATCTGCCAAAGCAGAAAATGTCAGTGACCGATCTTCATCGGCCAATTTCGTGCCGTCATATAAACGCTCATGCCCGATTTCAATCTCATATGCTGTCTGGCAGCGCCGTGGCACAAGACTGATACCAGACCAAGAACAGACGACAACGATCCTTGCCTACGTCAGCAATGCTTTACCCCGATCTTTTCAACTATCATCCATTATATATTCGCCCCAAACTCGTCCAGTTCCGAATCAGTCGTGTTTGGAATTTGGGGAGAGAATGGCCCTCGCGTGTCTGCGTTCATCGGTCAGGAATTCATTGAGATCTGGAGGAAAAAATTGCCTTTAATGCTCCGGGTGGGACTCGAACCCACGATCTCGCGGTTTACTAGAATCGTTTGAAAAGATTCTGCAAGATAAACACAATGATCTCGATTAGCATCCTCGAAGGGAAAGCCTGAGAAACATAAGCCACATGCCTTAATCCAACTTGGCCACCAGAGCGAAAGGTTTTCGGGCGAAAACGCTTCACTGCATACATATATCCTCTGTTTTTATCGGTCAATGTTCTCTTTACCCCGCGGCGCATGTCGCGAGATTACGATCAGGATTCTCCCACTGTCGAATTCCCAGTTCAAGGTCGAGACGCAGGCAGAAGTGACAAGCGGGCATAGTTTGGCAAACAGAATGTTCATCAACAAAGGCAATACAAGGGGTCGAAAGAAATACATTGAGAGCATAACAACTGCGTCAATGGTGATGATACGCTTATTCCGACTTGTCCTCCTCGACATCAACAGTAGATTTGTTCTCTGCGCGTGGGCTGGAAGCGCTAAAGATGGGAGCGGGGCTCCAAGCACCCGAAGTCAAGTTCTGCTTGGATGGTGTGGAGGGAGCGGCAGTGACAGCGGCAGAAGTGTCGATCGCCGTCAGCTTGGGCTCGTCAGTGGAGCCAGAACCAGCGGCAGCGGCTTCCTCAGCAGCGGCGGAAGGGGTTGCCGACTCATCGGGGCTCTGGGACGAGGTGGAAGCAGGAGCGTTAGGGGTAACCATCACACCGGTCTCGTTGAGGCTAGTGGCGGAGAGCGTGTCCCATTCCTGGCTCGAGGTTGTGCCGCTGTCGGTTCCCTGTGCCGGCGCAGCTGCGAGCTGGGCAGCGGATGCGGACGATGATGGAGAAGACTGCTTCTCTTCGGCAGCGTTTTGTTGCTTCTTGCTGTTCTCCACATCCTCCTGCTCCTCATCCTCGTTCTCAGCGTCAGCCTTGGCGGCAGATAGGGGCGACGGTCCATCCTCGTCGACGTCATCCAAGCCAGCAGCGCTCATGCCTGCTTCCGAACCTTCGCCGCCGCCAGTAGCGACATCCTTGCTAACGATCCTCATGATGGTGTCGAAAACCTCCTTGGGAACAGCCTTTTGGTAGATCATGATCAACTCGACGGGCTGAGGGTACACCTTCAATGCCCTGAAGAACGCAGCTGCAGCATCGAGATACTTGTCGGTACCCATGGCGAAGAGCTGCTCACCGAGAGAAACATACTTGAGGAAGTACTGTTCGCGCTCCTCAACGCCAGCAGGGAAAGTGCCAGGTGCACGAACCTCCTGCAAGAGCTCTTGGATGAAGACATCCTCCTGCTGAGATCGCTGGGCGGCAGCTTTCTTCTCAGCTTTGGACGACTTCTTGGACTCCTTGCGGAGGGACTTGCGGAATACAGGGTCATTGCGACGACGGTGGTCAAAGTAGATGGCGTACCCTACACCGGCGATGCCGAGGGCAGAGAGGGAAGTGAGGACGATTTGAGATGTCTTCATTTTGAAAGAGAGCCACTGTCGTGGTTGTCAAAGGTGACGTAAACAAAGATGTGTAGTTGAACGCGAGAGGGGAGAAAAGGCGTGATGGTGATGAAAGAGACACAAGATCAGCAAGCCAAAGATCAGCTCCACTCTGCCGGTATGTGTCTTCACTGCGGAAGATGACCCGATCGGTGCGCTCACCTGCTTGCCATTTCTGGTTTTGTCCAACTGCGCACCGTCCGAGAAGGTTTTGAAGAGAGAAAGAGAAAGAGAGAGAGTCGTGGTTGGACTCTCTTTTGATGTGGAGCGCCAAACCAGTTTATTTTTTAATTTTGCAGCAGCACTGCACGGTAAAGAACATAATTTTCTTCCAAAATTTTGAAAAATTCTCGAGCGCCGCTCCAACCACCAAACCGTCTGCTGCCATCAAAGTCTGCAAAGGGAGGGGGAGGGGAGCTGGACCCTGTCGACACTTGGCCTATGCTTCCAACGTCAAACCTTACACACTCGCTGCTAGACTTCACCATCCTCGTCCTCCTTCCGAGAACATCCTACATTCGGACAACAACATGTCACGAACAAAGAAGAGCAAACCCGGAGTCAAATCTCAACAGGCTGCTGCTTCTGTTGCTGCTGCCGTTAATACCCCTGCCATCGAAACAACCGCTGCTGAGACTATCACCTCTACCGATGTCCAAACCGAAAGTGCCAAGAAAGGGAAACTCATCCGACCCCGTGGCAAGCGTGGAGGCGTCAAACACAAGAAGGGCACCGTCAAACAGGCTGGGGCTGTCTTGAATGCTGCCGTCAAAGAGGCACGCAAATCCAAGACCAACACTCTAAAGTCTACCGAAGTCCAGAACGAATCAGGAACAGCCGCCAACCGCGTTCCCCCCGCCGAGCATGCCGAGAAGATTGCCAAGTTCCATACGCTTCTCAAGCAGCTCGAACAAGCAAAGACTGCCGAAGAAAAGGATGAAATCCAAGCAGGTCTCGACTCACTGGGAGGGCTTGCTCAATACCAAGCTTGGTCGTTGACCGGATCCGCAAAGTCAGGTCAAACTCCAACCAGCAAATGGTGCATGGAAGCTCTCAAAGATGTATATGAGCACGACCGAAATCTGCCCAAGTTTAAAGTTCTCGATGTCGGCGCCATCACCGGTACTGCCTACTCCAAGTACCGCTGGGTGGATGCAACCTATATCGATCTTCACCCACAAGGTGACAATGTGCAAAAGTACTCGTTTTTCGACTTCCCGGTCCCCATCCCTCCCGAAGACAAGTTCAATATGGTCGCACTTTCCCTCGTCATCAATTTTGTTGGAGATATGAGGAAGAGGGGTGAAATGTTGAGGCATGTTCACAACTACTTGCCGGAACATGATAACGTGCCTGGATTCTGCTTCTTGGTATTGCCCCTGAGTTGCTTGACCAACTCGAGGTACATGAATCAGAGCCATTTGAGGGCGATCTTGGGATCGTTGGGATTCAACGTTTTAAGGCAAAGCGATTCGGCCAAATTGTCAAGATGGCTGCTTCAAAGGAAACCACTACAGGAGAGGAAGCAGTCAGCGGAAAAGTCAGACACTCCGGGAGCGTGCCTGGAGTGGGATGGCACCATCTTCAAAAAACGAGAACTCAACCCCGGTAACGATAGGAATAATTTTGCCATCGTGGTCGATCCCAAGCCTGAGTAAAAAAAAAAAAAAAAAAAAAAAAGGGGGAAAAGAAAAGAAAAAGAGAGCGCCTTACTTTGCTCGACTTATATGCTCTCACGTCTCTCCGAAGCGTCTCTCTCATCGACCTTTTTCTTGTAGAATGTGCATCAATACCACAACAACTCGCCATCCCTTCTGTACTTGTAGTGTCTCTCTCCCACGTTCTCACCCAATCACGATCACATACTATTCTTTCTTTCTGAACACTCAAACCAAAGTCGTTGATCCGAGCTTTCAATGCATGGTATTAAGTTTAAGTAAACACAAATAGGCTGGAATGGGGAAGCAAACCATTTTACGTCATCGAGTACTTGGGACCTCCTCCACCCTCGGGAACGTCCCATCGAATACTCTGGTCAGGGGTCTTGATGGAGCAAGTGTAGCAGTGAATGCAGTTCTGACTGTTGATAATCAATTTCTTACCCAATGCATCTTCCTGCTCGGGAGTATCCGCCTCGACGTATTCGTACACACCAGCAGGGCAGCACCTTCCAAGGGGGCCTTCAAAAGTACCCATGTTCCTCTCAACGTGACCTTTGTAATCGCCATCTTTGACCACAAGGTGCACGGGCTGGTCCTCGGCGTGGTTGGTACCTGTCCTCGACACCGAAGTCAAAATGTCGAAAGACAGCTTACCATCTGGCTTGGGGTACTCGATAGGCTCGCACTGAGCAGCCGGCTTGGTCTGAGCGTGGTCCTCACCAGGGTGGTGGAATGTCCAAGGCACACGGCCCTTAAGAATCATCGAGTCAAGACCGGAGTAGGCAAGACCACCCCAGAAACCGAGTGGGCTGTGGAACGAAGGTCGAAGGTTACGCACTTCGTAGAGCTCCTTCATGACGTATGTGTCGTCGAGTCTTGTCCTATAGTCGGCAAGGTCGATGGTCTCCTCGGAGCCGGATTCAGCACGCTTGGCGAGAGCTTCGACGACGGCTTCGGCGGCAACTATACCGGACTTCATCGCATTGTGGGTTCCTTTGATCTTGGGAACGTTCAAGAAGCCAGCTGCGCAACCGACAAGTGCACCACCGGGGAAGTTAAGCTTGGGGATCGATTGGTATCCACCTTCGTTGAGCGTCCTAGCACCGTAAGCGAGGCATTCACCGCCTTCAAGAATGTCCTTGAAGAAAGGGTGGTGCTTCATACGCTGGAACTCGCGGAAAGGGCTGAGATAAGGGTTCTGGTAGTCGAGTCCAACAACCAGACCGATTGAGACCATATTGTCCTCCATGTGGTACATCCAGCTGCCGCCGTACGTCGCCTTATCCAAAGGCCAACCCATGGTGTGAGTGACAAGACCAGCCTGATGCTTCTCTGGCTTGACACGCCACACTTCCTTGACACCAAGGCCGTAAGTCTGCGGATCAGCACCAACAGCGTCACGCAATTCGAGTTGCCTGATCATCTTTTGCGTCATCGAACCGTGAGCACCTTCAGCGAAGAGAGTGATGGGGGCGTGAAACTCCATACCTGGCTCGAACGAATCCTTGGGCTTGCGGCTCTTATCGAGACCGATCTCATTGGTGATGACACCCTTGATTCCGATGGGCTTTCCGTCGTCGCCCATCTGCCACAATGGTTGGGCAGCAGCGAAACCGGGGTAAATCTCGACACCGGCGGCTTCAGCCTGCTCTCCGAGCCACGAGACGACACGGGAAAGCGACACAATATAGTTGCCCTTGTTGGACATCTGAGGTGGATGGGGCATCGGGAACGAGCCGGTGGGTGTGAGGTATCGCATCTGGTCTTCGAGGGCGGGTTGGTTGAGGGGTGCGTCGAGTTCCTTCCAGTTGGGGAGGAGTTCGTCGAGGGCGTTGGTCTGGATCACAGCACCAGAAAGGATGTGGTTGCCGACCTCCGGGCCCTTCTCAAGAACAACAACGCGAATTTCCTCGCCTCGCTGCTCGGCGAGCTGTTTGATCTTAATAGCAGCACTGAGACCCGCAGGCCCACCACCGACAATGATGACATCGACTTCGTCGGCCACGCGCT